TGAACTTCCATGACCGAACCGTTCACATCCGTGATCGGAACGGAGTGTTAGTCCCATGCACGGTCGCGACCCCTCACACTTCAATTGCTTGTCACGTGGTTTTCGTTGCGAGAATTCGCGACGCCATTGCTCGGAATGACGTCGAGGAGATGGGCCTTGTATTCTTGCATGCTCTCCCCTCGCCGGACGGACTAGCTGCGTCACCGCCGGACCCACGCATTTCTCACCTCTTGGACGAGTATAGAGACGTCTTCGAGGCTCCCACCGGAACGGTTCCAGATCGGCCCATACGTCACGGGATCACTCTCGAGGCTGGCGCCGTCCCTCCGCGTGGATGTATCTACCGCATGAGCGAAGAGGAACTCGAGGTGCTTCGCGCACAACTCGATGATCTTCTCGACAAGGGCTGGATTCGCCCTAGTTGCTCGCCATACGGTGCACCTGTTCTCTTCGTCCGGAAGAAGAACAAAGATCTACGGTTATGCATCGACTATCGAAAACTTAACGCACAAACCGTAAAGAACGCCGGCCCTCTCCCTCGGATTGATGATATCCTTGAGCGGTTAGGCGGCGCAACGTACTTCTCGAAGTTGGATYTGAAGTCAGGTTACCACCAGATTGAAATCCAGCCTCAAGACCGGTACAAGACCGCGTTCAAGACGCGGTATGGGCATTTTGAGTGGATTGTCATGCCATTTGGCCTCACCAATGCCCCCGCAACGTTTCAAGCAGCAATGACGACTGAGTTTCGCGACTTGGTCGATCGCAGCGTCCTCATCTACCTTGATTATATCTTGGTTTATAGTAGGACGTTGGACGCGCACATCGTACACCTTCGCCTTGTTTTGAATCGTTTGCGACTAGCCAAGTACAAAGCGAATCTCGACAAGTGCGAATTCGCCAGGCAAGAGCTTGAGTACTTGTGCCATTTTGTCACGCCGAAAGGCATTCGTCCCTTAGCGGACAAGATCCAAGCCATCGTGGATTGGTCGGAACCCCGTTGCACTACGGATGTACGCTCTTTCATGGGTTTGGCTGGATATTATCAGCGATTCGTCGAGTCATACTCGAAAGTGGCCGCTCTATTGTCGAGACTTCAGTCCCCGAAGGTGCCCTTCGAGTTCGTTGACGCAGCCCGTGGCGCGTTCACTACGTTGAAGGCAGCGATGCAAGCCGCACCTGCCCTCCGTATATATGACCCCACCCTACCCACCCAAGTGACTACGGACGCTTCGGGATACGGTATCGGTGCGGTGTTGGAACAGTGTCACGAGGACGGTTGGCATCCGGTTGAGTACTTCTCCCAGAAGGTGCCTCTCGTCAACACTCTTGATGACGCTAGGAAGAAAGA